CTGTGAATGCGATCAACAATCGATTGCAGCTTCGGGGGCCCTTTTGGATGAATAGATGCCACAAGAGCAGTTATTGCCAAAGCAGGGTGCTTTTGGCAGGGGTATTTAAAAGCATATTGGCAGGCCACCTGATTCCAGGGTACCCGACACTCCTGGTTTTGGCTGCCTGGAGCTTTTTCTGAAGATTTCCTGTGCCGAAGATAGCCGATGGAGATTTGGGAAAAGAACGATAATTTAGATTTTTTTCCCAATTTGGGTGCGTGTTTCTGCGTGTTTCTGCGTGTTTCCCGATTTGAATGTAACAGGCTCTTTCCAGAACAGGCTTCCCAGAACAGCCTGTTACATGTAACAGGCTCTTTCAGGAAGCCTGTTACTGTACTTATGTGTTCAGGAAATTTTATCTGTTGGAGCGTGTTTCTGCGTGTTTGGAAAGTGGCGGTGTGTTGAATTTTCAACTTGCTTCACTTTGGAATATGTAAGTGTGTTTCCGAGTCTGGCTCCAAAACCCGATCGTCCAAACATCGAATCGCTCGATATCGCAATGGGGAAGAGCACACGTCAAACCAAGGACTGGAGTGTTTTGGTAAGGGTTACCGCTCAATGGATCTTTCATGACTGCAGGAGAACGAAGATCTTGAGAGACTCAGGATTTTGAAAAGCCAGCCTCTCAGTCCCACATTTGAGGAGAAGAAAAAGCGAGCTTTGATCGACAAACTGGTGGAGGAAGAAAGGCTGAGAAGGCTTTCCCAGGGGCTTCAGAAGAATGCCGAGCAACTAGCGCAAGCAAAGCAAGCTGAACAAACTCAGAAGACGAAGGAGCAAAGCAGCAATGTAGACAGCAAAGCAAAGCAGAAGGAAGCAACGGCTGAGAAGGAGGGCACTGGCAAGAAGGACGAGAAAAAGAAGGAAGAAAAGAAGAAGGACAAGAGCAGCAGCGCAGAGAGCAAAGCAAAAGAGAAGGAAGCAAAGGTTGAGAAGGCTGCCGAAGTCACTGGCAAGAAGGATAAGAAGGATAAAGAAAAGGAGAAGGAGGACAAGAGCAGCAGCGCAGCAAAGGAGAAGGAAGCCAATGCTGAGAAGGCTGCCGATGTCAGTGGCAAGAAGGACAAGAAGGAGAA